CCTGCTCTGCAGCAAGGTTGGCTCCTGCGCTGGCCAAGACACGGGCAGGGAAAGGGAATGGCTGGGACATCCCCCAGGGTATCACAGGTAGTTGTTAGGGATAATTTAATTTTTTTGCTCATCCTTTCATTCATTTTTATTTTTATTTTTATTTTTATTTTTATTTTTATTTTATTTTTATTTTTATTTTATTTTATTTTATTTTATTTTATTTTTATTTTATTTTATTTTTTTCATTTCCTTTCGTTTATTCATTTATTTTTGTCTAGCCATCCATATATATAGGCATCTATCTATCCATCTATCATCTTTCCATCCATCTATCCATCCCTGTATCTACCCTTCTATTTATCTATCCATCCATCCATCCATCCATCCATCCATCCATCCATCCATCCATCCATCCATCCATCCAAGCTTTTTAATTCCTACATATTCCTATTTAACACAAAAAAGGAGGAAGGATACCGCATCGTCTCCGCGGGCCAGGGGAGAGCTCGTGCGGGGCTGAGCCTCCCCCAGCTTGTGCCGGCGAGCAAATCCTCCTGCCAGGCCGGCATCTGGCAGGATTTATTTTTACGTTTATTTTTTTTACATTTATTTTTACGTTTATACGTTATTTCCCTCTCTGCGAGGGAACGGGAAAACCTCTCCGCGGTGCCCGGGGCGATTTCCACGTTGGCTCCTCGGCGAAGTGATGCAGAGCGAGCCCAGATTTGGGGTGGAAATGCCGAGAACAGCCACATTTTGGTCTCATTTTGGTCTCCTTGGGGTTCCCATGGCTGTGATGTGTCTCCAGAGCCAGACCAGGATTTGGGGTCCCTACGGATTTAGTACCCTACTTGGGGACCCTAAATGTGAGGAGATGAATTGTGTTGCTGATTTGGGATGAAGGACACCCCAAACTGAAGGAGAACCCAAACCCTCTTGCAACCGCCAGCTTCCAGCACTGATTATTCTGTTAAAGGCTCAGGAAATGGGTGCTAAGAGGTTGTGGGTGCTTTTTTTGGGGTATTTTGGGGTGTTGCTTCAGCTTTTTTTTTCCAGCTGTTGGAGGAGAGCACTGGGTCTTGGCTCCAGATCCCTGCACAAGGGCACTGGGGGGGATTTCCTTCCTTGTCCCTATTCTTGTAGCCCCAAACACCTCGCTCAACGGCTGCTGGAGCTTAAATCCTTATATATGGACTTATCTTGGTGAGTATTTGGGGCTGCGCCGCCTCCAGCCGTGCAGTCTTGCTTGCCTCCAAACAACACGTGCCTGTCCGAAGCAGATAAACGACAGCAATAAAAAAAGAAAATTTAGCCCAGAAAAAAAAAAAAAAGAAAAAAAAAAAGGAAAAAAAAAAAAAGAAAAAAAAAAAAAAAAAAAAGAAAAAAAAGGAAAAAAAAAGAAAAAAAGGAAAAAAAAGAAAAAGAAAAAAGAAAAAAATAAAGGAAAGGACAGGACGGACAGGAAAAGGAAAGGACAAAGGAATAGGACAGGACAGGAAAAGGAAAAGGAAAGGAAAGGAAAGGAAAGGAAGGCCAAGGAAAGGAAAAGGAAAGGAATCAAGGAAAGGAAAGATAAAGGAAAGGAACGGAAAAGAAAGGAAAGGAAAGGAAGGAAATTTGATTATGCAGCGGCCACGGTATATCTCAAATTACTACTGGCCTACAAAGGACCCTGCCTCCATGGAAACCCTCGCGGGTTAATTTTTTTCTGGAGGGCAGGAAAGCCCGAGCCCTCATCCACACCACCGGGCGCCTGTCCTCGGCTTCGGCTGCGATGCTCAGGCTCAAGTCGGGGAAATGAACCCATGCGTACGTTTGGGGCAAAACACTGATATCCCCAAACCTGCCTGACCATAAATGAAAAATCTAGGGTTCAAATATGAGTTTTGAGCTAAGTTAGGCCGTGGAAACATATTTTGATAAAGCTTTGACGCTGTGCCATACTCATTTTTTCACCCTCTGCTCACAAAGTATTTAATCAGTTTATTTCACTGTTTTTTTTTTTTTATTATTATTATTATTATTTTTATTTTTTTCCCCATTTTGACTATTCCCCACGTTATAGAGACGTAGAAGAGCAATTAGCAGCTCCGAAAGGCAGCTCCGTCGTGATTCAGCAGCGCTGCAGATGATGAATTTGTCGGGACAGGCACCGAACCTCCAACACCCTGGGGTCCAAGCTCGAGGTCTCCAACGCTTGCCCCATAACCACCAACCTCTGGGTCCAACCCTTTGGCCCCTTTTCGATCCGGCTGCTCGTCCAACACCTTTTTTATGAGGTTTTTATGGGGTAATGTGCCAAAGGCCTTCCAGAAAGACAGCACCCAGCGCCGGGATGGCACCCACCACGTCACATCGTGGTTGCGCGCCACGCTTGTGCCCCCCCAAATCACTTTGGTAACCATATGTAGGGTGTAAAGGGGGATTTCTCTCCCTATATCTGTGTCCCCGAACACCTTTAGGTGTCTGTAGGGAAGGCAGGGGTCGTTTTCTGGGAACTGGAGTAACGTGGCTCATCCATAATGAAATAGGAGCATTTGGGGAAAACGCATTTAGGAGAATCGCCCCGTGCCCTACAACCCGCCCCGGTGATTTTCTTCAAGGAAACACCCAAACGCACTCCCCCCTGCACCTCCTTTGCAGCCCCATGCACCCCACAATTACACCCCCTGCACCCTCATGTGTCCCCTGCACCCCCACGTGCACCCTCCATGCACCCCCGTGCACCCCTTGCACACCCCATTTGCACCCCTTGCATCCCTGTGTGCGCCCCCTGCACCCCATTTCTTTCCTCTGCATTCCCGTGTGCACCCCTGCACCCTATTTCTAACCCCTGCACCCCATTTCTGCTCCCCCTCCCCATATGCACTCCCTGCACCCCTATGTGCATCCCATTTCTACCTCCTGCACCCCCACGTGCACCCCACGTGCACCCCATTTACATCCCCCACCCCATGTGCACCCCATTTACACCCCCTGCACCCCCCATGTGCACCCTATTTGCACTGCCTGTATTCCCATGTGCACCCCATGTGTACCCCATACCCCATGTGCACCCCATGTGTACCCCATTTACACCCCCATGTGCACCCCATTTACACCCTCCACCCCATTTATTCGTCATGTGCACCCCATTTCTACCCCCACCCCAAACGGACCCCACATGGACCCCATGTGCACCCTACGTGAACCCCTCCACGCAATTTACCCCCCCCACACCCCATGTGCACCCCATGCACACCCCCCAACCCCATTTACACCACATGTACACCTCATTTACCCCCCCACCTCCACGTGCACCCCATTTACACCCCCTCACCCCATTTACACCCCCACACCCCTATGTGCACCCCATTTACACCCTCCACCCCTTTTCTACCCCCCTACCCCACATGGACCCCACACAGACCCCAGTTACACTCCCACCTCATTTACACCCCATGTACACCCCCATTTACACCCCATATCCACCCCATTTCTTCCCTGTACATCCCATTTCCACCCCACGTGCACCCCACCTTACCCCCGCACCTTCTAAATACACCCCAATACACCCCATTTACACCCCAAATTGCACCCCAGCACACCCCATTTACACCCCCACACCCATGACACCCATTTCTCCTCTACCTTCCCTTTCCACACCTTGTCCACCCCCTTTCAACCCCTACATCCCCATACACTCCCCACTTCCCCCATTTATCCCCCACCTACCCCAATACACTCATGTGCACCCATTTTACCCCCCTATCATCCCCTTTATACCCATCTGCACCCCCATTTACACCCCACACTCCATTTACACCCCATTTCTCCCCCTACATCCCCCTTTCCACCCATTTTCCACCCCATTTCACCCCCTAACATCCCCATTCCACGCTCCCCATTTATCCCCCCACAACCCAATACACCCCATGTGCACCCCATTTTCTCCCCCAACCCATTTACACCCCGTGTGCACCCCATTTACGCCTCCTACCCCCCTTTACACCCCATGTGTATCCCATATATACCCCCCCCACCCCATGTACACCCCTTTTACAGCCCATACACCCCATATACACCCCATTTCTCCCCTGTACATCCCCATTTCCACCCCACGTACACCCCATTTACCCCCCACACCCCAATACACCCCATGTACACCCCAATACACCCCATGCGCACCCCATTTACCCCCCTACATCCCCATTTCCACTCCATTTCCACCCCTACATCCCCATTCACCCCCAATGCCCCCCATTTATCCCCCGAACCCCAATACACCCTATTTCTACCCCCTACATCCCCATATACACCCCATTTCTCCCCTTGTACATCCCCATTTCCACCCCACGTGCACCCATTTACCCCCCTGCACCCCAATACATCCCATGTGCACCCCATTTCTACCCCCGTATATCCCCATTTACACCCCATATGCACCCCATTTACACCCCAATTGCACCCCATACGCACCCCATTTACCCCCCTACATCCCCATTTCCAACCCCATTTCCACCCCTACATCCCATTCACCCCCCTATGCCCCCCGTTACCCCCTGCACCCCAATACACCCATTTCTACCCCCTATATCCCCATTTCCACCCCCAATTGCACCCCATTTCCACCCCATGTACACCCCCCACCCCATATACACCCCATTTCTCCCCCCTACATCCCCTTTCACCCCCTTTCCACCCCCTTTCCACCCCATTCCACCCCTACATCCCCATTCACCCCCCACATTCCCCCCCATTCCCCCATTCCCCCATTCCCCCCCCACGCTCCCCCCACGCTCCCCCCACGTGCTCCCCCCTCCCCCTTACAAGCCCCGCCCCCTCCCTTAGGCCACGCCCCCTCCCCTTTAGCCACGCCCCCTCCCCCTTAGCCCCGCCCCTTACCCCTCCCCTCTCCCCTCCCCTCAGCGCCCCCTGGCGGCCGCCTCCCCCCCTCCCCTCCCTCCCCTCATGGCCCCGCCTCCCCCCCCCCCCCTCCCCGTTCTATGGTGGCCGCTCCAGGCCGGAGGCCGCCGCCCCCCCCCTCCCCTCGGAGCCTTCCTCCTCCTCCTCCTCCTCCTCCTCCTCCTCCTCCTGCAGCCGCCGCCGCTGCCGCTGCTGCTGCCGGCGGGAGGGGGGGGGGCGGTGGCGGCGGGGCTGGATGCGAAGCCCCCGCGCAGCAACATGCAGCCCCCGCCGAGGAAGGTGAGGGGATTTGGGGGGGGGGGTTGGGGTTTTGAGGGGGGGGTTTGGGGTTTGAGGGGGGTTTTGGGGTTTGGGGGGGGTTTGGGGTCTGAGGGGATTTGGGGGGGTTTGGGGCTGAGGGGGAGTTTGGGGCTGAAGGGGGTTTGGGGCTGAGGGGGAGACTTGAGGGGTTTTGGGGCTGAGGGGGGGATTTGGGATTTGACGGGGGTTTGGGGTTTGGGGGGGGTTTGGGGTTTGAGGGGGCGTTTGGGGTCTGAGGGGATTTGGGGGGGTTTGGGGATGAGGTGGGGTTTGGGGTTGAGGGGGAGACTTGAGGGGATTTGGGGCTGAGGGGGGGTTTTGGGGTTTGAGGGGGGTTTGGGGTCTGAGGGGGCGTTTGGGGTCTGAGGGGATTTGGGGGGGTTTGGGGATGAGGGGGGGGTTGGGGTTGAGGGGGAGACTTGAGGGGATTTGGGGCTGAGGGGGGGGGTTGGGGGGAGCTGGGTTTTGAGGGGGGATTTGGGGTTTGAGGGGTTGGTTTGGGGCTGAGGAGGAGATTTGGGGGGATTTGGGGTTGGGGGGGTTGGGGCTGAAGGGGAGACTTGAGGGGATTTGGGGTTTGAGGGGGGTTTTGGGCTGAGGAGGGGATTTGGGGGGGTTTGGGGCTGAGATGGGGTTGGGGTTTGAGGGGGGGGTTGGGGCTGAGGGGGGGACTTGAGGGGTTTTGGGGCTGAGGAGGAGTTTTTTGGGGATTTGGGGTTTGAAGGGGGGTTTTGGGGCTGGAGGGGGTTTGGGGCTGAGCAGGAGATCTGGGGTTGAGGGGGGGACGTGAGGGGTTTTGGGGTTTGAGGAGGGGATTTGGGGCTGAGGGGGAGATTTGAGAGGATTTGGGGTTTTGGGGGGGGGTTGGGGCTGAGGGGGAGACTTGAGGGGATTTGGGGTTTGAGGAGGGGGTTTAGGCTGAGGAGGGGTTTTGGGGGGATTTGGGGCTGAAGGGGAGACTTGAGGGGTTTTGGGGCTGAAGGGGGAGGATTTGGGGCTGAGGAGGGGATCTGGGGATTTTTGGGGTTTGAGGGGCAGACTTGAGGGGTTTAGGGGCTGAGGGGGGATTTGGGGTTTGAGAGGGAGACTTGAGGGGATTTGGGGCTGAGGAGGGGTTTTGGGGTTTGAGGGGGGGCTTGGGGGGGGTTGGGGCTGAAGGGGAGACTTGAGGGGGTTTGGGGGGATTTGGGGTTTGAGGGGCAGACTTGAGGGGATTTGGGGCTCAGGAAGGGGTTTTGAGGCTCGGGGGGGACTTGAGGGGATTTGGGGTTGAGAGGGGGGTTGGGGCTGAGGAGGGCGATTTGGGGGTGTTTGGGGTTTGTGGGGGATTTAGGGGGTGACGAGGGTTTGGGGTTGGGTTTCCTTAGGGGGGTCCTGGGTAGGTTTTGGGGACAGTGGGGGTGTGTGGGGTTTGGGGCTGGGCTCAATTTGGGGTTTTGGGTGGGGTGTGTGTGGGGATAATAGGGCTGACTGGGATTTGGGGCTGTGTTTCAATAGGGTTGGGGTCTTGGGCAGGTGTATGGGGGTTCCTGGGCTGACTGGGATTTGGGGCTGTGTTTAGGGCTTGGGGGGGACGGGGCTCTGGTTGCATTTTAGGGCTGCGTTTGGGCATGGAGGGGAGATCCTAAATGGGATCCTATATGGGATTGGGGACCAGCGGTGCTGACTGCATTTTGGGGCTGCAGTTTGGATGAGGGCTGGTGGGGTGTATATAGGGTCTGGCTGCGATATGGGGCACAAGGATGGGGTCTGTGGCTATGGGGTCTCATAGGCAGGGAGATTTAAGGGACAAGGGGGGGGGTCAGCGATGAATTGGGGCCGCAGTGGGGTGGGCGAGGAGAGGAGGGGGCGGTGGCCTGCAAAGGGGGGGGGGGGACAAGAGAGGGGTCTGCGGCAGCGGGGAGACCCCCCCCGGCCATATTAGGGTCCGGGTGGCGAGGATGAGGGTGAGCAGGGGTGGCCATAAACCTGTAGGGTTTGTGGGATGGGAGCAAACCCCAAAAGGTGGCGGCAGCAGGGGAGGGTTTTCCGCTTGCTGCAGCCTGCAGGGTTGGGGGTGGTTTGCTTTTTGGGGGATCGGCGAGGGGGGGAGGTGTGGATTTGGGGTTTTTGGGGGTGGTTGGGGACCCGAGCTGCGTGCGGGTGCCTGGTATAGGGGGACGGAGCGCTTTGGGATCGAGCTGCTGGGGACAGAGGGGGAGCCAGAGACAGCGAGCAGGGTATGGGGTTGGGAGCCACTAGGAGGGGGTGGGGGGGCGCTTTTAGGATTTTGGGATCCGTGCCTTTGGTCCTCATCATCCTGCTGCCCCATTTGGGGTGCGGTGGGGTGGGCTCCCCCATTTTTTGGTGCGATTTCCCCCGGTTTTGTGTCGTCCCCTCCCCGTTTTTTGTTGTTTGGCGGTGCAGTGGCAGGGGGCTGGCTGCCGGGGAATTGTCAGAGCCGAGGAGGTTTTTGCTGGCTTTTAGGATCTCGATTTCCTTTTCCTCCCCCTATTTGGGGAAGGGGAAGGGGATTTGGGGTCTTCGTGTCCCCCCCACCGTGACTGCGAGGCGTTCCCGACCTCCCCGATGCGCAGGGGCTGCGGCGATGCCTCCAAGCCAGCAGGAGGATCCCCTGTCATCACCGAGGGGTTTTAATGCCCAAATCTGCTTTTTTTTAATAAAAAAAAGAGAGCAAACAGCCCCATGGGGTCGTTCTGAACCCAAATCCTTCCTGATACCTGCCAGGAGGTGCCGGCTGATGGGATTTGGGTTTTAATGAGCACCAAATTGCAGCAGGACCACAGCCTCCCTCCGAAGGGTTATTTGGATGCAGCATTGAGAACCACCGTGATCTTTGGGCTGGATTTAAAGGAAATTCTTTAAATATCTTTTTTTTTTTGAAATTTTAATTAATTTTAAAATTGTTTAACTTGCTCCTAAGCACTAAATGTACACGCACCATTGATTTTCCCCCCTGTAGCCCAGATATTTTTTTATTTCCAGGTTTTTTTGTTCTAAAAATCCATCGGACACTCCTCGTCCTCACATCTTTCAGAATAAAATGGCATTTTCATTAATTTTGGGGCCTACGTGTGGGATTTTTGCGGGGTGTGAGCCCTCTCAGGTGGCAGCGTGTGTTGAATTCAGCCTCTTTTCACCCTTCCTTCTTCACTCTGTGCCTTAGTTATGCCCCTAAATGTGCAATTTCAAAATAAATGAGGGAAATCAAATCTTAATGGGAAAAAAAATATGATTTAAACTCTGCAGAAGATGCACATGGTCTGTTGTTTTCTTGGTTTTTTAGGTGAAAGTCACACAAGAGCTAAAAAACATCCAGGTCGAGCAGATGACAAAGCTTCAGGCCAAGCACCAGGCAGAATGTGAGCTCCTCGAGGACGTCAGGTAAGGCTATAGAGAACCGCGACCGAAATTTCCTTTAAGATCCAGCTTTTTTGGAAGAGCGCTGGAGTTACAAAACTTCAGGAACTGACGATGGAATTTCCTCTTTGGATTTCCTGCTTTCAGGCTGTTAAAGTTTTGACACAGCTGGAAATTATAACTGCAGCTAACACAATGCAAACACTTCTTTTTTTTTTTTTTCCTCTTCGCTTCAATGGGGGAAACTGTGTTTTTTTTTTTTTTAAAGAAGTCACAAATAACACAGAAAAAGCACTTTTTTTTTTTTCAGCAGTGCTTCTCTGTGTAATAGACTTTGATTTACTGCCCGTAAGAGGCTGTTACAATTATTACGGATGCATTAAAACCACCGATGATTTACATCTTGCTAGAAAGAGCTTTGAACAGCACTTTTAAATAGATTGCCTTTTTTTTTTTTTAATACCAGAAACTTGCAAGATATTTGCATTTATGATTTAAAACTTGGTGCAGTAGGGGAAAATCTGCGTTACGTCAGCGGCGTTGTGTTATTAGTTTTTTATTATTCATGTTAATTAATGTGATTGGTTCTCTTTAACTTCAAACTTTGCCTTCAATGAAATAGGGTGGTAGTGGCTGCCCAGCGTTAGGTGGAGGATTACTGATTGCGTTTGGAGAGGATCAAATTTTAGGAATTTTAGGGTTTTCTGTCAAGTATTCGGTCGTGGGGCTGCTGCTGCCCTTCTCTTTTTGGCAGTGTGTATCCCACCCGTTAATGAAATGAGATTTTGTGCCTTATATTTTCATCTAAAATGCAAATGTGGCCGCTCTGAGAGCTGGCGTGCTGTTTGTCTCACTGTCACAACGCCCTCCCCTAATAAATCAGAGGGACAAGGCTCTTCCCTCCCCTGTTTGCCTGCAGTGGATATCAAAACCCTTTTTTTTTTTTTTTTTTTTGCAGGGGAAAGATCCCAGCCTTCATCTCCTTAGATCAAAATTAATCGTCTGTGCAGTGTTTTACCAGCAATTGCTGAGTAATAACTAACAGATCTAAGGAATTTCCCCCCCCCTGGATAGGAGATTATTTTTAGATGATTAGGGCTGGGTCCCGTTGCCTCTACTCCAGGTTTTGTTAGCGTTTCCTATCCTTCAGGTGCTCATAATCACTGCAGCCTGACTGCTGAAAGAGGCCCTGAACCTGTGGATATAAATAGAGGAGAACGTGAAAACGCTGTCTTAAAATATTTGTTTTTAATGCGACTTGATTTCTGATGTTAATTTGTGGATTGAGCCACGGGGTTAGAATATTTCATTCATTGATGTGCTCACAAAACGTCCGTAGCCTCTGCTCGGTGTTCCAGCCTGTGTTTGCAGAAGCACTGTGTGATTTTAGGGATTGAAGCACTCCCTAAACGTGGCGTGATGCGATAGGAGGTGGCAGCTCCGTCGTGTCCACGATTCCTTCGGATAGCAGGTGGCGGAGCGCGAGAAAACGGGGGAATTGTGGCTTAAAAACGACGGCTGGGAGGAAAAAAAAAGGATCTGAGGTTGTGGTGCTGGGGCCTTTTCCATTTGAAGACAGCTGAGGAGGGTTTTGAAGATGATGTGACGTTGGTCTGTGTGTGTCAGCGGTGGGAGAAGCTTGGTTTCAGCTTGCTCATCCCATTCCTCGTGTCCCTGTAACTACTGCGTTGGCTAGAACCACGCACAGCATCCTTTTGTCTCCCGAACGAAGAGTTCTCTGCATAGAAAGCACCCAACCGCTATCCCAAAGTCTTAAATTTGACCCGAATCCTGCTTTTTTACCAAAACTTGAGGGATTTGGGGTCCTCTTGCGGCCCCGTTTGAGCTTTCGAGCGCGGGCAGGGCACAGCCTCGTGCTGGTTTGTGCTGCTCTGAGCTCCGCTCAGCTGCTGGAGCGGCACCGGGAAGCTTTGCATGCGTGGTTTGCAAGTTGGTGATTACAAATTCATATTTCCAAATGTGAGCTTGCTACAAATAATTATTGTATATATTAGCCTCTAAACGGAGGCGTTGAAATCGTGTACACGTTATTTATAAACCCAAGCGTCTGTCTGGGCTTTAACGCTCTTCATTACGTTTTTTTAATATCATTTCGGGCCGGTTTTATACAAAACTTCAAATATTCTGTCCTGAAGACGAGATGCAAGGGAAAAGATCAGAAAGTTCCCTGATGAGTTCCAGCAAAAGACGTCCATTGTCTGGCGGAGCAGGAGCGGATGACTTCTGGCAATGCCCCAGATCATAAACATACTTTTCATTCCAGCAGCTTTGATATATTTTATTTTATTTTTTTTTATGCAAAGCTGAGCGCCGGTTTAAATGGTTGTGGTTGGAAGGCTGAAAGTGTGCCTTTTCGAGGGGATGAAGCTGCTGGTTACTCCAAACGGGGTTCTTCTTCAGGTGGAACTGGATTTTTCTCCGCAGATGCTTCATCTCCTGGAGGGTTGCGCATCCTCCAAACCACCGTGTTTAATTCAATCTAAAATACATCTTCTTTTCCAGCGTTTTGCATGCTGAGGATGTAGCTTCGGGTCACGGAGGCTGGGAAGAAGAGGCAAAGTATTTTGCTTGTGGAAATCAGGTAGCTGGGTTCAAAGCTTCCTGGGGTGTTGGACAACCTTGGGCACAGCCTAAAATCCTCAGATTCATATAAAATTTGCATCATCCACGGCAGTCCTGCGAGCTTTGTTGCGTTTTGACAAGGCTCTCGTGCGAAACGCGTTGTGAAATGTAGGAACGAATGGGTTTAAAAATACCTTCCTGTGTTTATAACCTCGGCGTGGCTCTCTGCGCTGTGTTTCTTCGTGCTCGGTGCCGGGGAATTCGTGGAACGAGCGCTTCGGGATGCTTTCGGGATCCTTGGCTCGGCTTTAGGCATGGCATATGTTTATCTTCTCGAGCTCCCTGCAGCCAGCACCGCCTTTCATGTGGTGGATCCGCGCTGGCGTGACTATAAAAAGATCGCCCTTCTGCAGCCGTGATGGAGAAAGGTGCTTTTTTCCCCCCAAAAAAAGGTCAACCTAAGCTTTCTCGCTGCAAAATGGGCATCCTTTGAAGCTTCTCTATGGCTGGAAGTATTTTTTCGGTCTGTCCACCCTTAGCTTCTTCTAGGGAGCAAGTTCATCTCCTTTCCAAACGCCAACTGGGCTGTGAATGGCTGAATATCTCCGAGGTGTTGGCACTTTTCCTGTATTTAGTGTTGGCTTCAGACGTTGCGTTATTTAATTGGTAAATGTAAAGATCTCCACGTGATCCACGCTTGGGTTTGGGATTTCTGTGAGGTCCGTGCGTGCTACAGGCTCCACGAACTTGGTAGGTGATGCTTGCTTCACCTTGGATGTCATCCCAAGGCCTGGCTTCCAGAAGAACTCCTCGAACCTCTGCAGTTTTTGATATTACGTTCTCAAAAAGTCTTTTTTTGTCTTCTTTCCTTGCTTTCAAGCTTTGCCAGCGAACGTGAGGCTGTGGTTACGTGGCAGTTTTAATCCGCTCTAGCGTCTGGGCTGCTGCTCTGCTCGCCAACTTTTTTTAGCTGTCGCCCTGTAGGATCACAGGGATTCTCCTTCTGGGTGAGCCGTGTGGATTTGGGATTCCACCCGCTTGCAAACACACCTTTCCCAGTTTTCGTCCCCAAAATGGGACTGCTTGTAGGTAAATCCATCCCCCGGTGCTGCTGGCTGTGTGGCTCCGTGAGCATTTTTGCTAGTGGGAGAGAAATGAGTGGTTGGGGAACCAAATTTAATTCTTCCTCAATTTCAGCTAGATGCCTGGTGCAGAAGGACGTGCCAAAATCATAGGCTCGTGATCTTTGCGTGTCCCAGAGATGCTTGCAAATACGTTCAGGTACTGCCTATTCCTTCCGCTCTTCTGTCCTTGTGGTTCCTCCCTCCTTAATTTCTCTTCTCATCATCCAGTCCAGCATCTATCCTCTACATTCATTCATCTTTTTTTGGGTAAAGCCACCTTCTCCTCTAAATTTCCCCATCCTTTACCTTTCTTCTTCTGCTGCCTTGCCTTCGTGCAGCGTGTGCTCTCCTCCAAAGGTCTGCCCTCTGAAGGTCGATCCCTCCTTCCAACCAGACAACTTATTTTTTTGTTTTTTTCCCCTGTTACTTTCTTTACCCAGTTCTGATTGTGAGTTTTAATTACTTCTTGGCTGTCACATCTGTTTCCGAGGGGGATTTTATTTGTGCTCCCGGTACGAGGACAGCACTTGGACACCTTTAACATCACTTCCACACCTCTAACATCTTGTCTCGCCTCTGCCCTAACAAGCCTGGGTGAACAGGATGGATTTAAAGAAAAAAATACACACAAAAAAGGCAAAAACAAAGAAAAAAAAAACAAACCAAAACGTGAATGAATGTGTGCCTGCAGCTAGCTAGCTGGTGCTAGTCGTAACGTGTCCTTTTCTGGACCGAGTTAGGCTCTCCCTAGCCCAGCTGCGTGTGACCTTTTGCTGTGAATATACTTTGTACTCACCCGTGGAATTTGCCTGTGCTCCTGGAATCGTGCTGACTGCAGCGGTAGGTTCCTGATAAGGTTTATGGCAACGCTCACTGGAGGAGAAACCAGCCCCGGTTCCAGTTTTAAACACGACAAATCAGATATTTGTCAGCCCTGATTGCCTTGAAGTCTTGTTGTGGTGCAGGAGGTGCTGCAGGAGGAGAAGGAACTGGAAAAAGAGCTGGAAAATAACCTTTGTTTGTATATATCGACACAAATACGTACTAGGATCCCCTCAGAGATCCTGAAAAGTTAGGAGAACTTTCCTTTTTTTTCCCTTTTCCTGCCCCGAGGCGAGGTGGTGGTGAGGAGCTCACCTCGTCCCGTGCTTCCTGCTCCCCAGCTGCAGGGAATGCAATTTGCTCGCAGCCTTCAAACCCCATCCTGGGCTCCAGAGGAGGTTTGCCTCTGGCTAGGGGGTATCTGATAAAGCCCTTTTCTAAATTCCTGTTCAAAACTTCCTCGCTGCAATGGCTGGGAGGCTTTTCATAAAGGTG